GTAGTAGGAGAATCGGCTCCCACCAAAACATGTCTGCTTCCTACAGATGATATTAGGTCACGAAATTCACCAATGCGTATCTGATGCTAACAGCCCTTCTCCAGATTTACAAATTTGCCATCAAAACAGCTGCTTACTCTTTCTGTTCATTCTCCAAATGCTTGGATGGTCGAAAGTGTCTATGCCGAAGCTGATCTTGACAACATTCGAATGGAATCGGTTAGTTTTTCTCTCAACTAACATCATTGTTCTAAGTGTACGGAAAAAGAATGAGTTTATTCGCCCTAGTTAAAACCTCGCACAGCGCTGTGGATTTTTTCGAGAAGCTGTGGGGAGGATTTAGTTCATCGCTTTGAAGCACAAAATTTGACTTCATTATTCCAAAGAAAACCTGATAGTCATATAGATAGCACATCTTTGGAGCTTCTTTCTGACTGATGCTGTCGGAAATATCGATGTATATGTGCGGGTGATATGCTCGAAGGCACGATAATTTCTATCATAGGCCCAGTCTGATGTTCTTGCCGAGTTTTCTCTGGAGCACATCCTCCTAGAAGGACATTGCTTCGATGAGGTATCCGGTTCACCTCCGCGTGGGTTACAATTCGTGCTTGGGACACCTGCACATCCGACGAGGTTCGATACTATTGTGATGGCTAATCTCGGGTACTTCCAACTGAAGGTATAAGGTGATGTGTTATGTTATGCGTAGTCCAACACGGCCCATTTGCAGGCCAGCCCAGGGGCATGGGTATTGCAATTGCGAGAAGGGAAATCGAAAGATATATACCAGTTATCAGAAAGCATGGAAGGTGATGTTAACAGTAGCGGATCAATGCGGGTACTTATAGGTGTGTTCTTGAAATCACTGTTTCTGAATCTATAGATTTTGTAAAGTCAGTCGATCCTTTGAGTACTATTGGTATGTTTTAGACTCGTTTTCTGGTAAGACTATACGCGTTCGAGTGGCAAAGAAACCGGGAATGGAACAGCGTAGTCTCCTGGCAAGCGATGATGAGGAGGGCGGCGGTATCTGGAGCACCATTAGTAACACGTTAGTTTTGAATAATCTGGTCAAGCTTAGTAGGCTTGTATAAAACAAATGTCATGCGCTTTGGTATTGCATGCGCAGATTTATTGATTGCAGCTTGGTACAAGAAAAGCACAAAGTAATCAATGTGTTCTCCCTGGCGTCCGGTCACCTGTATGAAAGATTCATGAATATAATGATGTTGTCTGTTATGAAGCACACTAAGAAGCCTGTGAAATTTTGGCTTCTGAAGAACTACCTCTCACCTCAGTTCAAGGTTCGGTTGGTTTTTGGTTGATCGTCATTGGGAGATGTACCGAATTCTAGAAAAATCTCCCATTACTATCAGCTGAATACGGATTTGAGTATGCGCTGGTAGAGTACAAATGGCCTCGATGGTTACATCAGCAAAAGGAGAAACATAGAATTATGTGGGGTTATAAGGTAC